TAAAGGCTGACTGGAAGGTCTGTCTGGGAAGAAAGCCCGTGGACTTGGGCTTGGGCCCTACTATAGTCGACTGCTTAGGCTGGTTAGGATAAGCATCCTTCTCAGTTTGGGCAGTGGCGTCGATCACAACCTTGCCCTTATCCTTAGTCCCCTTCGGGGTCTCGGGCGTATAGAGAGGGCTTTTGCCCTTTTCCTTCGGGTCCCTCCGGGCAGTGGAGGGCCCCGACTGAGTCGCACGGTGGCGCTGCGGAAGTGTGGGCGGTGTCTTATTGCCACTAGTGTAGCAATCAGCCGCTATATGCCCTACATACTGCACAAGGTGCAGAACGCGGGGATCTTCTCATAGATCACCTGCTGAGCAAAGGTCTCCGAACCCTGCTCAATCTCAATCTCATGGACGGGTTCGACCCTGAGGTCAATCGATACACAAAACCGTGCCACGTTAGCCCTCGACTGGTGGGCCGTCAGGGCATCAATGCGAATCGACTGACCAATACACTTAGAAAGCGTAGTGATGGAATCACGGTCGAAAAGGTGTGGTGGGAGGCCGGGAAGACGGCACCACACGGGGACAACGGGCATCTCTGTCTTCGGGCTGAACCCGAAAGTATACTTGAACACCCTAGCTGGGCATCCACACACTTGAATCGAGGTCTTAAGCCATACCTCATTATAATCCTCGGGGAGATGAAAGGAGACTAGGAGATGGTTGAAGTTGTACCACTTATACGAAACTCTACCCTTAAAACCCAATTTACCTAATCCAGAAGATATATCTTGGGGGGCAGGGATAGCATAAGTAAACTTAAAAACCAGGGTGTTAACTAACTTACCGGCAAGGGCGTCAGCTTCTGCTTGAGTGAATCGGGCCTTCACCTTGTTTCCCTCCGATCTGATAATTGTCCCGCAGGCATGTTCATATCCCCCATCAAAGGTGAAGTCCTTGGCTGTCGGACGCGAGGCGTCCGTGCCGCCTTCTCTCCTCCCAGTAATAGCCTCTCGAAAGGAAAACGGGCCGGTGGAGTTGCCCGGAGGTAGCCCGGCTGCAGCGGGGTTAGCCGTGGAGGGGCCCGTCGGTGGTGTCCCTTTCGGAGAAGGTCCGGTAAAATGATCCGCGGCCGTCGGGCTTGGGCTCGCAACAACCATACCGTCTTCCCGCACATACAAAGTGGCCGGTTCAGGATCTCCGGCAGTAAGAGTGGCTAGTCCGACGAGGTGCTCGGTCGGGAAGGGTGAGTTTGGCTGTGGTCCGAGAATTCCGGTCATAAGAACCCTCTCTGTAGTCATCCTTGCTATCTTGCCGGTCTGCGGTGAAATTCCGGTGGCCGTGGCGGCGCCGGCGCCGGCGAAAATAAGGTGGCCAGTGACTGCCGGTTGGGTCTGTTGGCAGGAGACGGCTTCGGTCTGAGATTTCATAGAGGTGGTCGGGTTTTTGAAAGTGGTGGGCTGGGAGGTTGATTTTAAAATAGAAATGGGCTGTGAGGTGTTAGTCTGGATTGAGAGTGGGCTGGGGTGTGGGCCGTGTTGTTGGGCTGCGGTTTGGATTTGTTTGTGGTGGGAGTAGGTCCATAAAGAGGAAGGCCCAATGTAGGGCTTAATTAGATTATGGGTTGGGAGGTGGGTTGAGAGGTGTTTAAAGTAGTTTTGGTTTGGGCCTGATTAGTGGTGAGGTTTTGGCCTAATATGATATCTCTTAGCTGAGGATTGGATCCAAACCCTACCACTTGGCGAGGGTGTAACTAGTGAGAAGAGAGGATAGATTCTTTACCAGTCAACAGAGAAGGAATGGCGGCGGCACTCGTCTTCTCCAGCGAGCCATCTTCCGGCAGCGGACCGTATGAACCGAAGACAAGCGGCCGATTTTCTAATCTCGGTTCCAAAGAAGTCGTCGACCGGTCTGAGCGAATTTCGATGAGTGAAGTCGAGAGCCCCTGTGAATTGATTTTTCCAAAAAGATTCTCAACACCTTCTACAATTTCTCCTTCTTCTAAGTTTTTGTTTTTGTTTTCTTCTTTTCCCATTTTGGTGAACTCGTTTTCGCCGAGAAAGGCTGAGAGGGCCTCTCGAAATTCCGGCCTTGACATGAAGGTCTCCAAATTCGAAGCTAAGATGGCGGGTGAGTGTTGTCTGATTGCCGGAGTAATGACTGGAGGAGCCATGTTTGGACAAAGACTGAGATTAGAGGACTAAATAGGTTAAAGCACGGGTGAAAAATAGGGTAAAAGTGACAAAGATTTTCTGTAATGTATGTTTTGTGTTTTTTTGGTTTGCTGTGGTGGCCGGGGACCGGCCGGAGCCAGCACCGGCTTGCCAGAGGTCTGAGAAGCTGGACAGAAAAAGTTTAATTTGGGTGAAAAAAATTTTAGAGAGAAGGTAGAGGATATTTTCTAGAGAGAGAGAGAGAGCATGAATTTTTGTATTTTATTGCTAGGTTATTTCTTTCTTACTGCACTCTGTAGTTGCTAGGTTAGTTGTCTCTTGTTGCTAGGTTAGTTCTCTGTAGTTGCTAGGTTAGTAGTTGTTAGGTTAGTTGTCTGATGTTGCTGAGTTAGTTGTGTCTAGTTGCTAGGTTAGTTGTCTGATGTTACTAGGTTAGTTATGTCTAGTTGGTAGGTTAGTTGTCTGTTGTTGCTAGGTTATTTTTATCTTGTTGCTAGGTTAGTTATGTCTAGTTGCTAGGTTAGTTGTCTGTTGTTGCTAGGTTATTTCTATCTAGTTGCTAGGTTAGTTATGTCTAGTTGCTAAGTTAGTTGTCTGTTGTTGTTAGGTTAGTTCTATCTTGTTGCTAAGTTAGTTCTAAATAGTTGCAAGGTTAGTTCTAAATAGTTGATAGGTTAGTTGTCCTGTTGTTGCTAGGTTAGTTTTCTGTTGTTGCTAGGTTAGTTCTCTGTAGTTGCTAAGTTAGTAGTTGCTAGGTTAATTGTCTGTAGTTGTTAAGTTAGTTGTCTGTTGTTGCTAGGTTAGTTATGTCTAGTTGCTAGGTTAGTTGTCTGTTGTTGCTAGGTTATTTCTATCTAGTTGCTCCTAGGATTGTTCTTAATATTGGTTGCATAGTCATCTAGTGACACCATTGAATTTCTAGTTTACTAGTAAATGTCATNAAAAAAGGAAAGAAAAAAAAAAAAAAACCAACTTAAATGTTGTTCTCCACTATTACAGCAAGTTTGGTAAAAATTTATGTTACCAAAATATAATCATCCACGCTCTATTTCATCCAGAAATACTATTATCCTCCAACTTACATAACATTGATAAAATACCAGGACGTTTATCATGAAGCCTCTGCATCCATCTGAATCAAAATATTCACTAACAAAAATATTGACTATAATCATATAATCTTTGGTCTAGTAAACTCATTCTACTCCACAATTTGGTTGTATTCATGGCTTATAATGTTTATGATGTTATTCTTCCCTGTAACTGATAATCTTTTTGGATTTTGGCTTAGTATATTTTTGAACTTATGATATAAGTTCAATTATCTTTGTTGTTTATATTACATTTACTATATATTACGCTTCGTTGTCTCAACTCTATAATTTTTTTCTAGAATATCAAGTATACATGGGTTCCGGTTTCGTCATTTGTGATGTATTTTTCCATTTCTCTTCCTATTTCTTTCTTGAAATATATCCTGCTCCAATTACCCCTAATTATACTGTCCAATTTGAACAAACTTCTATCAGTATCAAATCAAAATAACTCTATCAAAACAACATTTGGTGTTCTTCTTGTATCGAATACATTGATCTAAAAAGTACTTAACTGCTTGAATTTCATAGAATTGTGCTATCCTATTTCTCTCAGGTTGATACAAGTTATGAAAGTGTTAGAAGATTCCTCTTGTAGTAAAAGAATCCCACTCCTGCTTTTCATGTTTGTCTGCTTTAAAATTTCCATGTGATTGCTAAGCCGAGCATGTTTATTTGATATGCAAAATCCAGCTGATGACTATCCTGTGTTTTACATCTTGAATAGTTTCTTCTCCTGTCTCCTCCCTCTCGTTACAGGGGATGCTTATAAATAAGTGAACATCAAGGAACCAATAAATAGAGAACAAGATGTATGGTCTTTTTTTTTTTTTTTTTTTCCAAAACGATAGATAGATTAATATCAAATAAAATGTACAATCCGCGAGACCAAGTAGTCCCAATACAAATCGGAGAACCACCGGAATAGTGGCCTAAAATACAACCAATTGGATATAAAATACATCTAAGGCAAGAAATATTTGAAATCTCAGATGCAATAATACAAAATTGGATCCCTAGCTACAGGAAAGAAGTAGATGTAGAGGACCACTGAACTCCATGGAGACCTAGTCACCCCAACTCATGTCAACTTCTCCTTGCAGCCAATATTTCAGAAAACTCCAGCCACTCCTGAGTTGCTGCTTTTACTACTTCATGCTCAGGGATCAATGAGTTCTTGAAGATGAATAGATTTCTCGATTTCCAGAGCCACCACAAGATGTAGGTGGACAACTGGATCCTCTTTTCAGCAGTTAAGCCTTTGTCTATTGAGCAAACCCCCCACCACCAACTCTTAAAACTGAATTCATAGCCCTTCAGACCATCCCAATTCACCGGTGAGAGTTCCCAGATAATCTTGGCTCTGTCGCAACTGAAAAAAACATGCTCAATCGTTTCTCCATGCTCACCACAGACTTTACAAACATCATCAATTGTTGACATTCCTCTGCTTCTGAGATTAGAGTTAACAGGGAGTATACCCGAGTAGCATTTCCACAGAAAATGCTTGAGTTTACCCTTTATTTTTAAGCTCCAACTTCTTTTTCTAGCTTTCTTGTTCAATGAGGCACTGGCACTAGCTTCAGCAATATCTAACTCTCTCAGCTTTTTCTGAATCAGATAAGAATATGTAGAGGAGACTGAGAATTGCCCTTTACTGTCAAAGGACCAGTTCCATTTATCTGCCAATTCAGGGTTGAGGGATGAAATGTTTCTAATGCCTTCTATCTCGTCTGCATCAAACCAGGCTGCCAAGAGGTTTTCATTCCAGCTTGTGCCATTTTCCTCCAAAAGATCACAGACCCAAGTGAGATTGCTTGTGGTTGAAGTGTTGTGTGTAGGAATACCTGTAGGAGTGTTAGGAATCCAAGGGTCTTGCCAAATCTTGGTAGACTTGCCATCTCTCACAGTCTTTCTGAAGGCAGTTTTGTGCTTGTTCAATACTTTCATCCAGTTGCACCACATCCATGAGGCATTCTGTGAAGCTTTAGCTTGTAGGATTGAGCCAGCTGGAAAGTACTTCCCTTTTAGAATCTTGCTAACCAATAGGTTGGGGTTTGTAGCAATTCTCCAGAGCTGCTTGAGAATTAAAGCCTCATTGAAAAGCGCAAGATCTTGAAACCCCAACCCCCCTTCTTCTTTTGGGATAGTTATGGATTTCCAGCTCCTCCAGTGCATCTCAGATTTTTGGTCATCCCCTTTGCTCCACCAAAATGAGGCACTTAATCTCTGAATCTCCTGGCAGGTACTCTTAGGTAAGCAGAAACATGACATTGTAAAGATAGGCATAGCATTAATAACTGATTTGATCAGGATTTCTTTACCAGCATTGGTGAGGAATCTGTTTTTCCAACTGACAAGTCTAGCCCTCACAGAGTCAACCACAAAGCTGAAGCATTCTTTCTTTGATTTTCCTATCCCAAGAGGTAAGCCCAAGTATCTAAAAGAGTTTTGGATTTTAATGCCTTCAAGGATCTGACTGATCTCATTTTTTATGTCAACTGTAGTATTCTTACTGAAAAAAACTGAGGATTTGAAAAGGTTCACTTTCTGTCCAGTAAAGTTTTGATACTGCTCAAGGATATGTAGTAGAACCATAGCTTGCCTACCTTCAGCCTTACAAAACACCAAGGCATCATCAGCAAAGAGTAGGTTAGAGAATTGAGGTCCTCCCTGGAAATTTTAAGACCAATAAACCTGCCACTTGATTCTGCAGCTTTGAGTAATCTAGTGAAGACTTCAGAAATCAATATAAAGAGGTAGGGGGAGAGAGGGTCCCCCTGCCTTATGCCTCTGGAAGCAGTGACATACCCCTTAAGCTCTCCATTTAAATTAAATGAGAAGGCAGCAGAAGAAATGCAAGCAATTATCCACTTAACAAAGGTGCTGTAGAAACCAAATTTCAACAGAGTGTGTTTAATGCAATTCCACTCAACTCTATCAAAGGCCTTCTCCATGTCAAGCTTCACAGCCATGTATCTGTTATGCCCTGATCTATGCCTGTTTAAATAATGTATGGCTTCTTGTGCAATTATAACATTATCAATCAATTGCCTTCCTTGAACAAAGGCAGACTGGTTTGGACTAATACAATGGCTGAGGAAGGGTTTGATTCTTGTAGAAAGAATTTTGGAAATGATTTTATAAGAGACTCCACATAGGCTGATGGGCCTATAATTGTTAAGGGATTCAGGGTTTTGACATTTAGGGACAAGTGTGATCAATGTATGGCTCCAGTTTTTCAAGATTTGGGAAGATTCAAAAAAACTGATAACAGCAGCACATAAGTCACTTTTGATGATAGCCCAGAATTTTTGGAAGAACAATGGAGACATACCATCTTGGCCAGGGGCCTTGTTTGGATTCATGGAAAAAAGGGCCTCTTTGATCTCCTCTTCAGTGACAGGAGCAATGAGACTCTGGTTCATCTCTGCAGTTATAACTTGAGGTATCATTTGAAGAATAAAGTCTTCTCCCCTTGATCCTTCAGAAGAGAATAATCTCTGGAAAAATGACTGAATGCAATTTTCAATATCTGTCTGGGATTCACAAATGACTCCATCTTCATTTTTTTGCCTGTTGATGTGGTTAGATTTTCTTCTTTGCATTGTGGTGGCATGGAAGAACTTAGTGTTGGAGTCCCCTTCTTGCAACCATTGAATTCTTGCTTTTTGACTCCAATAGTCCTCCTCCTTTTTGTACTCTCTATCTAGTTCTCTTTTTGTGTGAAGCCACTCATCCCAGCTCTTTTGCTCCCCTTGTTCTCTCAGTTTTTCCATTGTGGTAGTTAACTGAGCTTTGAGTTTGTCATTCTCCTTCTTGAATTGACTGCTCCATTTGAGAAGGCCTTTCCTCACTTCTTTTATTCTTTCCCTGACTTGAAACATTGGAGTGCCTGTTTGTGGGAGGTCCCAGGCAGCTTGAATCACTTCTTTGACCCCATCAACTTTTAGCCACCTCTTATCAAAAAAGAATCTTCTTTTATGATTAAGGATTTGCTGTGGGTTGTCTTTGAGTACTAGTAGGTGATGGTCAGAAGCACTTCGAAAGATATTATGCACCACTGCTTTGGGATTATTAGCCAACCAGCTATATGAGCCAAAGAACCGGTCTAGCCTTTCTTCAATAAAGCCCTCCTCCCATCTGTTATTTTCCCATGTGAAACTGTGTCCCTCCATATTAATGTCTTGCATTCCCATTCGAGCACAGAAATTTCGAAAGCCCATCAAATCAGCCTCAGACTTTCTCCTGCCACCTTTTTTTTCTGTTGGGTCCAAAACCTCATTCCAGTCTCCACCTAGAACCCAGCTATCTCCCCAGTGTAGTCTAGCATTCTCCAGAATGGCCCATTGTTCTTCTCTGATCCTTTTGGAAGTACTAGCATAAACAAAAATGTACCAGGTTGAGTTCAGCCCTGCATGACCTGCCACTTCAACCTCAAAACAAAAGTCATGTTTTATAATTTGGAGAATCTTCATATCTATGGACCACATCAACAAAATTCCTCCACTAAGACCAACAGGTTCATAGGCTACCCATCTGTCTTGAAAACCAATTTTTTTACAAACGGTTTTAATAAAATCATTTTGTTTTTTTGTTTCAGATAAAAAGACAAAACTTGGAGGGTGGAATCTTGAAGATTCCTTCAATTGGGCAACTGTAGAGGGCCCCCCCAGACCTCTACAGTTCCACACCAAAACATTCATTGGGGATAGTGGGGCCAGTTAAGGTTGGCCTCCCCCACCTTTTCTGCTATTCCTTTAAGCTTCTTTCCAAAGCCTGCATTCTGGCAGCCATCTTCTTCTGGGCATTCAGTTGCTTGTGTAAGTGTTATTTTTCTGGTTAGGTGCATGGATTGCTGGATTAGGCTCCCCTCGTTACTTGCAGATTTGTTGCTTTCTTTCCCTTTGAGTCTTTTCCATTTGGAACTGCTTTGAACAGGCATGGTTTCTGTGTGTTCCATTGTTATTTCCATGGTTTGTTCTTCTTGAGTTGCCAATGCTCTGGTTTCATCTGCAGATTTCTTCACAAGGTGAACATTCAAAAGATTATTTTCCTCTTGTAGTGCTGAACTTTCAGTTTGACAACTGGGTCTGCCCTCCAACGGTTTGGGAGGAATTTCTTGAACCATTGAGTCAATCAGAGAATTAGTTTTATCTCCTCCTTGAGCGTGCACTACTATGAGGTTAAGCTCCTTAGACTGGTAATTTGAGTTTCTACTACCTGGAGAGGTAGTTGTGATTTCCTTATCAGCAGAGTTATGAGGATGTTCAGTGGATTGAGGAGGAGAGTCGGGCGGCTGGCTTGATGGCATACTAAATGATTGCAAGTTCCCTCCAAATCTTCCATCTGCAGCCTTCATCCACTCACCGAATTGCCCCTCTTTTGGATTACCTTTCTTAATATCTTCTGTCCTTTTCGCGCAGGATCTATCAAGGTGACCCAAATAGCCACAATAATAACAGAGGCTGACCAGTTTTTCGTATTGGAAGTTAACTTTAACTTGCTGATTATTCCTCTTCATATGGATGCATCTAGGGAGAGCTTTCTTAATATCAACTGTAACTAGCAATCTGAGATAACTACCTTGGGCACCCCCTGCTTTCACTATGGTTACATTGCTAGTGCTTTTGAAGATTTTCCCCACTTTGATCCCCACTTCTGTGCTGAGCCAATTGATGGGTAGATTATGGGCCTGGACCCATAGGTTGAGATCAGAAAATTTTGGGTGATTAACGGAGAGTCCCTCTTCCCATTCCGACAGGATTAGATATTGGTTTTCAAATATCCAGTTCACCCCTTGCCCCACTTTCTTTCTATCCTCTGTACTTCCAAAGATAAATTGAAAGAAGTTAGTTCTGAGTTCGCGGACCTCGAGCCTGTGATTTATTTGCCAGATAGCAGTCATGGTTCTTCTGATGCCAATGAGGCTTGCTCTTCTTTCTCCAATGATTTTACCGAAGAGGCTCCTATTACATTCTTCCTCACTTTTTTGCACATCAGCTGAGCCCAGTTCAACCACCTCAAGTTCTGAGTCAGATAAGTCGATATTATTGAGCTTATCACCTAGCTCATCAGCTCCCACATCGCCGCTAGAAGCCCCTGCTTCCTTGGGCTCCATAATTACGATACCAGTCAAGGTCAATGTGAGATGAAAATTAAACGAATGTTATCAGGGGAAGCTCTTAATCAAGAGGAATTACGGCCCAAAATTGGGAAATTAGGGTTTCTCCCAATGAGAGTCAAGATTTAAAATTTTATTTTTAATTTTTATCTATTTAAGTATTAATTTGACCTGACTTTTGTCATTGACTGTCAACTTCGACGTTGATTGTTGACAGTAGTATGCATTATGTGTAAACTAAATATGGATTGTGTATAAAGTAACTGTGTACTCTAAATGTACAGTTGATATGAAGTAAATATGTATACGAAAATGTATTTTTTTATTAAGCAAATGTGCACTATGCATGAAGTAAATGTGCACTTGATATGAATTTAATACATATTTAATATAAACTAAATATTCTTTTTTTATGAACTAAATATGCAACAATAATATCAACTAAGTATGCATAGCTCATGAACTAATCATGCACTACGTACGAACTAAATATCCATTTTTACGAACTAATTAATGTGCATTCAAAATATACAATTGACAACAATACCATGGAGCGTAACTACTACTAAGTATCAAAGTATGCATTGTTCATGAACTAAACATGCATTTTGTATTAACTAAATGAGTAGTCAAAATATGCAATTGAGAGAATAGCTTGGAGCCTTAATAAGTGTAGCTATTGTCTCTATATTCTCAAATAAATATAAATTTGGTATTACTATATATATATATATGCATAAATAATGAACTAAATATGTATTATATATTAAATTAACTATATAATAAAAAACAAAAACTATTATATTAGATTAATTATATAATAAAAAAATATATTGACGGTTTGGCCACTTACTGGCGCTCAACGCCGATCAACCAATTTATTTACTATATAATTAATTTTAATATAATAATTTTTATTATATAATTAATGTAAATTTCATTAGCAGTTGATCTACATAAACTAATTTACTAATATTAACCATTGATCTACATACACTAATGGTTAGGATTGAACCTCATAACCCTATTATAAAGAAGAGCCCTATTGGATCCACCCCTATTAATATGCTATTGAGTTTGTGAAAAATCAAAATGCTAACCACATATATTTATTTGGATATACAATAAATACTTTATATATACAAACACCATAACCGATAGTTATAATATTTTAGTAATAAATAAAATAATATCATATTAAAATTTATAAGAAGTTATTATATTAGTTAAACTTAAGAATATTTCATTTGTCTTGGTTATTCAGTAAAGCATCAAATACTATAAATGACATAAAAAAATAATCTCATAAGGAAATTATTATTAAAGTTATATCAGTGCTTTCTTTCATAATTTCTATTCATTGAAGTTTTAAAATATAATATTTCTACTTCACAAAAAACACACACAAAGGGATACTATATGCGTGTGTGTAACAGCTTATCGTATATATAGCTTCGGATTTTCTAATTTCAAATTGATAGATGAAAATTGAGTTTCGAATGGTCCGATCTTATTCATTTGTATCTTGAAACAATGTCAAATGAATTAAATTATATCATAATATCAGAAAGCCATACTATTAATTTGACCTTGGAAAAATTAAAACAAAACAGAACAAGCTATATATTCGTCCTGAAGTATAAAGTTTACACTATACAATCTGTTTAGAGGAACATAAAATGTGAACATGTTACAACTCTGCCAAGGATAATTTTGAACAATAATATTGAAGATCCCAATATCAAGATATTTATTTATATCAAACTTAAAATTCATGCAGACCAAATAAGTAGTGATTATTGTTCCTCCAAAACTACTATATTCCACCATCATTCTTGACAAAACAAGAAAGATTTTCAACTTCAATATATATTTTCTGTATCTCGATTTTAATTACAATGCCATAAAAAAGTAACCTACAAAGGTAGAGAATTCAATGCAAATTAGTGAGGTTTGATGACAATTTTTCAATATAAATACCTACAACCTTAGATGAAGAATAACACAGACAAATACAAAATTTACTTCTAAAATGTACTCTGATTATATGCATTGGTTAGTTATCCTGTTAACAGTGAGTCTCTTCATATCCTCCAAATCAACAAAAACAAACGGGATAGGACTTTTACAAACATATAAAGTCTACGTGATTAATAACTTCAGCTACAACACCAGTGAATTGATGATTCACTGCAAATCTGGAGATGACGATCTCGGGTACCATTTTCTGAGTCAGTACGCCAGCTGGCACTGGAAATTCCGGGTCAATTTATTCGGGTCAACTCTCTTCTTTTGCCATGTAAAATGGGGGGAACTTGAAACAAGTTTCACTGTTTTTGATACTGACTATATAAGTAACAAATGTGAGGGCACCTCAACTTGCTTTTGGTCATTGAGAGCAGACGCCATTTACTTCAGTTGTGATGACCAGAATTATGTGCAGAGATACATTTGGCCTTGACGAGAATTGTTTTATACACGTGTCTCTAGTTGATTGAATTATTGGTTTTAGGCAATAAGACTGATCGTAATGATATCTATATATATAATTACTAGCTGATGCATTTAATAAAATATTTAATAAAACTTATTTTCATTTCTCTCCAAAAGAAGTTATATTTTTTTTAATTAATTACTCACTAATCTGTTAAAACCGTTACATTCAGAGTTACTAAATTAATTCTAAATTTGGTAGCAAAATATTTAAATGTGTAACGGCTAATGTTGGAATTTAAAGTTGATGGCACATTCAGAACTATAACCGCTGTATTTAATTGCTGTAACATAGATAAATTTTATACATTAGTCTATTGAGGTGCCATGGTTCTTTATTTTACCTGCATATTTGGGGAAAAAAAAACCATTCTTATTATTGTGTAATAAGTGATTATGATATTTAGTAATGACCACATATTTTTATAATCAAATAACACCATATAAGTATTTGCTTATAAGTGGAAAAATATTAGATGAAATAATCTAAACGCACATGTATTTTATTATATAAATATATTATTTATTTCATTTGTACAATAATTCTCTAAAAATATCCATTTATATGGTATATAATATTTATGTTGTCCATTTTAAGTTTTTTTTGTTTTACTTTGTTTATAATTGTATATTTTCTATTAATTTAATATTCAAAGGGTATAAAAATTAAATGATTCATTATATTCACATAATAATAGGCATTAATGTATGGTAAATCTCCATTTATATTGTTATTTCTTTTTAGTTTTAAAAATCCAACTTAGAGTCTTTGATGTAATGATTCAATTATAAATGTCATACATAATATTAAATAAATTTTATTTTAATTAAGATTTTTATATATAATATTTATTTATCAATTTATTTTTGATAACCTGTGCAAATGCACAGGGTTAATACTAGTTATTTATAGTTTCGGAAAATACAATTTTGTTAATTCAACACGTTGTTGCACTCTAAACAAAATATAATACCCCAATATTCGTTCATTACAATATTTTAACTCTTTTTTGTGCCTATTCGATCGGTTTTTAACATGTTACATTGGATCCAGGCATTATTGATGTGCTTGCGGTGAATAAATAAAGTAAAAATCAAAATGAAACATAAAAATAAGCAATAGTACTTTGTAATTAGAATCTTAAAATATTTAGTTAATTTTACTATTTTCCAAAATGTTGTTCGTTTTTTCTTTTTTTAAAGCATTATAACATTACCTTTTATGATATCTTTAAGACTCCAGATTAATTCACATCCCTAGAAAATTAACTTGTATTTGCACCTTTACCACATTTCAAAACATACAGATCCTTTTTGTTAATTCTCAATAATCACATTAGTTGCAAATGTCCACTATTGGCGCAAGTTATCTAAAGATTTTAAACACAAGAGTCATATTTTAAACTCACTCATCTCATCATGCATGACTCATCATTGTTGTTCTTTAACACAAGCTATACCATCAAGAAAAACATTCAAAAAAAAAAAAAAAGAAGAAGAAGAAAGAAAGAAAGAGGTAAAGAGAAAAATCATGGATACTAGTGTTTCGATCGGAGCCACGTTTATAATGTTATTGAGCATGTCATTGCAACTCGCCCATGGATCAGTTGTTACCAAAACCCTGATAAGGCCAGGACAAAAAACTTTCTATGGCTACCTGAAGAAAATCAGGATGCGAATTTACAACAACCTCGGCAATAACTACACGCTCAGCCTTCACTGTAAATCCAAAGACAATGATCTCGGAGAACATGAGGTCAACAATGGGCATTCGTATGCATGGAAATTCCGAAACAACTTTTGGGGGAGAACATTGTTTTTCTGTGGTATGGATTGGGCCAAGAATAGTGGTGTGTTTGATATTTACGTGGAGAATAGAGACGCAAGTAGATGCAGAGACTGCATTTGGAGAGTGACGGAAGATGGAGTCAGAGGCTACAACAAAGAAGGCGGAGTTGAACAGATTTGGTTCAGGTGGCTACCCAAGCCTCCTGCTCAAGATCCACACTAAAAACATCGATCTCTGCTGCTTTTTTAATTATTTGGTGCAGTTGATACACCATTTCAATTAATAATATTCATCCTCTATATAATTTATCTTCTATATGTGTAATTTACTTTTGTTGACGGACGTTTCCGGTCAACGGTTAAAAAGTCAAATAATGGAAAGGAAACGAAGAGAAAACACAGAAATACGGTTTAATCACGGTTTTATTAATGAGTCACGAGGTCGGCCTCTCGTACGAGGTCGGCGCTTGTGATATCCTTATATTGCTTACAAGAGTTTCTTACAAGTGTTTTAGAGAGAGAAAATATGAGCTCGAGTAGTTGGGATTCAACAACCCAAAATAAATGAAGTGGGTTGCTATTTATAGTAGCTTTTAATATCGCACTGTTCGGGTACTGTTCAACGATCTTGTCGTACAGTAGCTCAATGGGACAAGCCGGCGCTTCTCTGACTGATTGGGAGTGATTTCCGGATTCTCCAATCATTACCTGTCATACATTTAATGCGAACGTGGGCTGCATTAAATGCGGACACGTTCTGGCTGAGTTGGACGTCCCATCGGCAATCATTCGTAGACAAGTGGCATTATTTTATTGTATTCGACGTCGCACTTATATCAGGAGCCGCCCTTGCGAGACTTCGAACACGGTGCCGGCCTCATAGCCGCATGGTGCGGTGCCGATCTCGGGACTTATTCCTCCCGCCGTTCCAGACGACTTTGACTCTCATTCAGCTCGGCACCCAAGCGCGGTTTTGGTGACCGGCTCCTTCGGCTCGGACCGGCACCCATGTTGGGTCCGGACTCGGATATTAACATACAGGCCCCCGAGCTCAGGTGAGGTAAAGCGGACCTTTCCTGAGGTCGTCTTCAATCGGTTGGATCCGAGTTGGGCCCATCGAGTCCGTGCCCGGCCCATCATGAGGTCGGCATCTTCAACACACTTCAGTCGTGGGGGCGCAACGATTGTCAACAGAAGACGTGGGATGCAACGGTTGATAAACGTGGGTGTGTGTTAACTGCGTTCACACGGGAGAAAAGACACGTGGCAGGTTTAGGGCCAAGCATTTCACGAAGGGGCGTAACGGTTGATAAACGATGACGGTTATCTTGCTCAACACTTCAGTTACTTAAGGAACCGTTTCGGGTTTTTTGAAATTCAAAAGATCTGTCCACGTGTCATTGTCCGATTGGTGGGGCGATCTTTATATATATCCCCTTTCTCAGAATTTCTCTTCACTTTTCCCAAGAACTTTTGAAACTTCTCTCTTTTCGGATCTGTCGAGCTTTGCGATTTCCGAGCACATCCCAAGAATTTTCCGGCGACGATTTCCGGCCATCCTTCGGTAATTCCTACCTTCCTTTCTTATTTTTCTTTCCTTGCCTTTTTCGATTGGGATGTCTTCTTCTCCGAGATCTACGGGCGACGGCGGCGACTCCGCCGGTGAGGGTGGCGATTCCTTCCGGCAGGCGGACGTTATTCTTACCGCCGTCCCTATTTCTGTGATTCGGCGGTCGAAATCGCCTCCGGTAGCGGAGGTGCCGAAGCCGACCCTCCTTTGTCGCCGCTGCGCGAGGGGAACGATGCCGACCTTGACCCTTCGGCGGCGGCTGACGACGACGATGTCGACCTCGATTTCCTGGACACCGATTCCGATGTCGATCCAGATCTGGTTGATGAGACCCTTCAAGGGGAAACCGGCGGTCGGGAGCGTGTCCCCATGGGGGACGCGTCGTTCGACGCCGCTCTCGAGGAGGTGACCACCGTTCCTCCGGGGTTCTGGCGCCGACCCGAACGGATCCGGGCAACACCGAGTCAGGCGACGGCCTGGAACACGGCGTCGATCCTGGATGACGCCGATCTGGCCCAGCTGAGGGGAAAGTTCAACTTCGGCCCCGGCGTTCGGCTGTTCGCGCCCTATCCCGGAGAGAGGATTCATTGCCCGCCGCCGGGCTGTATAGGGGTCTACCGTCACAGCATCCACTTAGGCCTTCGGTTTCCCCTGCCCAGTGCTCTCAACGATATTTTGAGCGGACTTGAGGTCGGCATCAGTCAATATGTGCCGACAGTGTTTGCCCGCCTGATGAGTTTGATCGTCATGTACCGTCGTGAGGGTTGGGCCGACCCCACCGACGACGAGGTGAGGTCCTTGTTCGCTTTCAAACGCGCCGGTGAGACCGGCAACTACTACAGCTCGGTGCTGCCCGGCATCGACAAGACGTTGGTGGCCAAGTTGCCCGAGACCCTGCATGGCTACATGCCGCACTGGTTTTGGGTCGGCGGCAAGTGGAGGACTCCGGACGCTACTCGGCACCCACCTACTCATTTCATTTCTCATACTCGTAAGTTTTTATTTTCTTATCCGTCACCAACTGATTTGCTCTCCTCTGTGCTAACAGGTCATACTTTGCGTTTTCAGTCCATACTCACAGCTCGGCACTCAGTCCACGCCTGGCCGAGCGACTCAGCACCTTGTTGGCGCGAAACGAAGAGGACCGCCGCTATTCCGCCCTCGTCAAAGAAGAGAGCCTCCTCAATCACAACCTTAGCCCGGAAATTGTCGACAAATCTTTTGAACCATGTAGCTTCTTAACCCGACTCGGCACTTTGTTGGTCATTTTATTCTTCGTAGCCTGCTCGGTACTGACCGCGCCCTTAACTTTATTTGCAGTCTACTACCCTCTTCTTAGGCTCAAGGGATTCGATTCTGTGAAGGCTGCCAACAAACACCGCCGAAAGCACCCGAACCCACTCAAGACAAGAACAAAAGCTGCCATGTCTGGTCGTCTGAACCTTGCCAAGAAGAGGGCGGCGCTCAACAAGGAGCCGGCCCCGAAAGCTGCCGACGTGCCGACCCCTACGGAGCCGAGCACCGTCCCTGCTGTCCCCCAGGCCCCTCGCGCTCCGGCGCCGGAACCACGCATGACAAGGCGACGGGCTCGCGAGGCACCGGGCACGACCGGCGGCGAGGCCCCGGGTGCGGGCGGCGAGGGCCCGGCTGCGGCGAAGAAAAAGAAAGGCGCCGAGGCTGAAAGCTCGGGCCTCGCCCAGGAGAAGGCTGCGCACGTCCATCAGGAGGGGGCGAGCACCTTCGTCCCTATCGATGCCGAGCGGAGGGCTCGCTTTGCCAAGTCCCTGCCCGACTTTCCGGATGATTGGTACTTGGACCTCCGCTCGGCCGAGGGGGTGGTTGTCCCCAACCAGTTCGGGGTTCCGGAGGAGATGATCAGGGCGGCTCGGCTCCCGCTGGTCGCTTGGACCCCGACTGCTCAGGCCGCTGCCACCCAGCTCTCCACCCCGTCGCTTATTCAACATGCGGCGGGGACCATCTCCCGCGCCCTGGTCGAGCTCGTCCAGGCCGCCGATCGGTCCCAGAGGGCCCTGGCCGACCACCGCAAGCTGGAGGCCGACCACGAACTCTGCCAGGGGAAGATTGCCTCCCTAAAGACAAAGGCAAAGCGGGCCTCCGAGCTGGAGAACCGCTTGGTGTTGGCTGAGGCCGAGGCGGCGAAGGCCAAGGAGAAAGAGTTGGAGGCTGCTCGGTCGCAGGCCAGGATGGCCGAGGAGCTGAGGAAGGAGAGGGCAGCCTGGGCGGCCCGAGAGTTTGAGTTGGGGGAGCAGCATGCTAAGGCCATGACTGAGGAGTTTGATCGGCATGTGGCCGAGCTCGACAAGCTCCAAGCCCACGTCATCAGCCTTCAGAAGCAGCTTGAAGCGCACACTGCCGAGCTGGAGAAGCATGTCATCCAGGAGGCTCCAGAGGACGGCCGCCCCCACATTTCGCTCCGTCTGCCGACTTACCCGGAGGTTCAGGAGCTGTTTAGCAAGGATATCATGGCCGACATGGACTCCGGGGTCGGCTACAATCTTTATTGGCTCTTCCAGCGGCTCGACGCCGGTCTGCTGACCTTGGAGGACTTCCGCGAAATTATGCGAGCGAAGATCTCCAAGCACGGACTGGATGCCGAGTTCGAGGGACTCGTCTGCGAGGTGGACGAGGAGGAGGCGGCTCTGGTGCGCCGGCAGAGGGGATGGACGGAGGACGAGATCTTCGGTTTCGCCAACTTCGGCGCGACGCCTCCCGACGAGATGCGCCTGAAGCCAGGCGAGGCCGTCTCCGACTATATGCCTTTCCTGTTGCCGAGCCGAGACTTTGCAGACGAGGCCGACCCCTCCCGGATTCTGCAGGGGACTCACGACCATGAGGCCGGATCCTCGAAGGCAGCCGAGGGCGACGTCGGGGCCGAGGCGGATGCGGGTGGTGAGGCCGGCGAAGGTGCCGAGGTGGTGGTGGAACCCTCGGAGGTGGCCGTGGTGGACTTGTCCGCCGATCCTTCTCCTAGGAAGTAGCTTATTTTCGGCCTGCGTGCCGCTCTCGTTGACCGCTTGTGGTCTTTTTATGAAGAACTTAATTTGTAGGTTTTTATGTTTTGCTTTGAACAAACGAATGTTATGGTTTGGTTTTTTTAATGAATGAATGCTTATGTTTGTTTGGATAATCGGATTTTTTGTGTTTGTTTACGTACTCTTGTCGTGTTTCTGCCAAGTATGGGTTTGACGCCGGGCTAGGCGCCTAGTTATTTGCTCGGCCGGGCCCGGGATTGGGCACGGCCTTTTATTTACTTATTTACTTACGAATGAATGATTGTTTATTCTCGATTTTTCCAAGTATGGGCTTGATGCCGCGCCGAGTATTTATTTATTTACATGGCCGAGTCCGAGATCGGACTCGGCACTTTGGATTTACTTACAGGGCCGAGCCCGGGATTGGGCTCAGCACTTTTTGTTTACTTTGTATTTTTCATTTTTTACATTGGCGCAGTGGCCTTACCGAGCTACTTTGCCGAGCCCGGCTCGTGCCGGTCGAGTCATCGTACTGACCCGGCCTGCACATAATTATGTGGCAGCTTACCTGACCGGTCTCGCGTTCGGACTCGGAGGTATTATTGGCCTGACTGGGCTTCCTAGTTGAGCCCAGCTAGTGCCGGCCAGGTCATCGTACTG